GCAGCGACAGCTGCTGTTGCAAGGAAGGAGGGAGGGAATGAGAAACAAAGGGAGGCCTTTCTTGCCAGGCAGCAACCCCATCCTTACCCTGCCTCCACATGCTTGGGGAAGGGGGTCTAGCAGAGGCTCCCCTGAGCTGGATCTGCCAAACAATCTGTAGAATGCTCCTCTCAAAGGATTAGGTGTGGAATGTGGCATTTGGCATTTGAGTCAAATGGAATATTTTTCCTTTGTTCCTCTAAACCCAGTCGGTAGGTCATTGTTTCCCAAAGTGTGTTCCACAGAACATAGTTCTGCTAGATATTAATAGGAGTTACATGAAAATAAGAAGTTGAAGCCAAATCATTTTGGGAACTGCTGGGTTAAGTGAAAGCAATGGCTTCCTTTACTTCACAGGATTTCAGAGTGTGTGTGATATGCTATGTGTTCTGTGAATTTCTAGAAGGGATATAGGCTATGCCATGTTCCCTAAGCTTATCTGTTTTCTCTAGGCCAGGTGTGACAAACTATGGCCCACAGGCCAAATCTGTCCCATCATCGTGTTTTTGTAGATAAAGTTTATTGGAACACAGTCACACCCATTATTGTGTTGTCTTTTTTTTTAAGATTTTTATTTGAGAGAGAGACAGACAATGAACAAGCAGGGGGAGCGGCAGGCAGAGGGAGAAGGAGAAGCAGGCTCCCTATGGAGTAGGAAGCCCAATGCAGGGCTCCATCCCAGGACCCTGGGATCATGACCTGAGCCAAAGGCAGATGCTTAACCAGCTGAGCCACCCCGATGTTCCATTGTGTTGTCTTCTTTGGCAGCTTTAGCACTCAGTAGCAGTGTAGCACGTTTGCATTGGAGACACACAGACCAAATGGCCTGTAAAACTGAAAATATTTATCTGGCTCTTTACAGAGAAAGTTTTCCTACCCTTGGCTAGGCAATTCATAGAACTGATATTCCCTGGAACTCATATTTGAGAGATACTGCTATAAGAAGATAGAGGTGGGTTGTTCTAGTACTGCTTGTGATGAATCTGCTTAATTTTATTCAACTTTTATGCTGCCATATTTCTTTTCCTCTTGCTTTAAACTCTTTCCTCTCAACCATTTATCCATTGTTGAAGATCAAAATCTGGCTTCCATGTGTCATTGTTCTTTCCTTTCACTTATCACATACCATCAATCACCAAGGATGTAGCTAGTGTCAAGCTTACATAGCTCTCAAATATGCCTATTCCCCACTTCCACCAGACTGATTTAAGTGACCATCATTTTTTGTCTTGTTTTCATTTTCAATGTTTTAAGTGGATTGCCTTTGCCCACTATGGGTTGCTTCTAATCCAGGCAAGGGCATATCGTCCATCTTGATAGAGTTGTTTCGTATTTTAATATATGGAGGAAAAAGGGAGCTGCTGAGGCCCCCCTGTTTCATGGGTTATCGTTCTCTCCAAGTTGTTAGTTACCTTAGAAAAGTCTGTAGAAATAGCAAAGAAATCTCCCAGGCTTTTTTGGCTTTCCAGCTGCTAAGCCTTACACTATTTTCCTGAAGTAAAGTGAAATAGTTTCTTGCAAAGAGGGGCTTTTGTACCTCTAAATCTCATCTTTAGTTTTTTGTTTAGTTTTGTTTTTACCACAAAGCTCATTTTCTTTGCTCATCTCTTTTCCTGGGATAATGTCTGGCTCCAGTGAAGCTCTACCTTTCTAGGACCTTCGTGATTCCCATGCTTCAGGCCCCTCACAAGATTCCACTCCTCTGAATGTTCAATAGATGGAGTCATTTAGAATCAGTCATGGGGTGGGGAGGGGAGGTCTTGATGTTCCTCCCAAGGAGGTTGGTGGTTAGATTCCACCTGACATAGCACTGAGGAGCTGTTTATTTTCGGTGGTGGAGCTAGAAAAGCAAGGCCTTTGGATACAGTTTCAGGAAGGTAAACATATAAGTGGAAAAAAATTGTCAGACCCTTTTCACAACTTGCTTTTTCATCCTTATCAACTCCCACTCCAGTGTTGTTTGGATTTTTAGAGATGTTTAAGGGAAGAAAGCAGAGGCAATGATAATGATAGTCTACTACTTTTGCTGTGCTTAGAATCCTTATTTTTGTTGGAGAGTCTGATTTATTATTTCCCCCGTATTTTCCACAAGAGGGAGACTGCTCATTTCCCCAGGAAAGGAAGCATTAGGGCAAATGCTTCTCTCTGCCTGATGATGGAGGAGATTGTTGAGCAGGTGAAAGGCGGGGAGACTAATCAGTCACTCCTTTTCTCTGTGACTAGCTGGCAGGATATGTCAATGCATACCTGTGGTCCTGCAGAGAGCTGCATGCATAGACTTGAGGCCAGAACATTTGTGTTCCAAGCAATAGATTTGGGGATGGAAGGTAGGAAGGGGCATCAAGTCCAAGTTGTGTTCTTCCACACAGGTCAGGGGAAATCCTGCATTCAGGAAGTTATTGGGCTGTTAATAAAGCTGACATTGGACCTGTGGATCTTTTTTTCTTTTCTTTTCTTTTCTTTTTTTTTTTATTTATGATAGTCACACACACACACAGAGAGAGAGAGAGAAGCAGAGACATAGGCAGAGGGAGAAGCAGGCTCCATGCACCGGGAGCCCGACGTGGGATTCGATCCCGGGTCCCCAGGATTGAGCCCTGGGCCAAAGGCAGGCGCCAAACCGCTGCGCCACCCAGGGATCCCTTTTCTTTTCTTTATAGAAAGAGAGTATGAAAGAGTGACTGAGTGTAAGAGCAGAGGGAGAGAATCCCAGGCAGACTCCACACCTAGTGAAGAGCCAGTTGTGGGGCTTGATCTTAGGACCCTGAGGTCATGAGCTGAGCCGAAATCAAGAGTGGGCACTTAACCGCCTGAGCCACCCAGGTGCCCCTGGGCCTGCAGATCTTAAAGTATGACATTATTTGTCAGAACCCTGAGGGAAGGTGGGTAAAGTCTTACTTACATTCCTCATACTCCTAATAAGGAATGGCTCCTGGATAGCTTTGCACAGGTGTTTCCTGAGTGTTTCAAACTCAGTGTGCCTGAAAGTGAGCTCCCCTTACATTTGCTTCTCTCATGGTTCCTGTCTTGGTGACAGATCTCTTACTGTCATGGTATCCTAAATTGGTGTTCTGGGTACTGGAGCTTCCTTTCTCACTATCCCTGTGCACTGGGCTGCACCCTACTTATCACTCAGGTCTTAGCTGTGATATCACCTTCATTCAAGTCTTTGCTCACCCACCCAGCCTGGGCCCTCAATACTTCCTCACCAAAGTCTGAATTCCACTGAAGCATGCTTGTCCCATCATTTCTCTGCCTTTTCTGCTAGGCTTCAAGCTTCTTATAAGAAAGGTCTAAGTATCATTTATCTTGAATAACAGATCTAGCACAGGGCCTGCCTGCAGTAGCTGGTCAATAAATATTTCTTGAATGAGTACCACTCGGTCCCAAGAGTACCTGAGGCTATATAGCATAGTGGTCACAAGCCCCACATTGGAACCTGAGGCCTGGGTTCAGACTCTGCTGTTTGTGTGATCTTGGGTGAGTTCTTCAACTTCTTGATCCTCAGTTTCTTCACCAATTAGATGAGGGTAATAATTCCTTCCTAGGGCTCTGATGATGAAATGCTTTCATCTATGCAGAACCTGGAGAAATGTGTGACACTGTGTTTGGTGTTTCAGATAACTATCGACAACAGTAGCAATACAGTTATCCTTAATGGAAAGGAGAAGGCTATAAGCAAAACTTGGAATGAGAAATAAGGCATATGGAGTGCTTGCAAAATGGCTTTGGAAGAGGTAGACTGGTGATAGGGAACTGAGGTTTCTAGCTAGGGCAGTGCAAATGTAGGAGCAGATGGGCTTGCTGTGGAAAAGAATGAATGGTGATGGGAGGAATAGGGTGGGAGAACCAAAGACAGAATCTTGAGAAATCCTACATCTGAGGGATAAGAGGGGTCAAAACAGGAAAGAGAGATAATAATTACCAGTAGGAGATTGTGCTTCATCAGATGCCAGGGACAGGAGTTTTAAAAAGATAGTCAGGGGTGCTGTGCTGGGCAGAGGCCTGGGAAAAAAACTAGAAGAGGCAGCAAGAATCCGATAAATAGGGGAACATTTAATGCCCTTGTCTGTTACAGAAGAGGTGGAAGAAGAAAGAAGCCAGGCTCTGGAAGGAGTTAGAAAAGGCCGGGTTAGGAACAGGATGGACATGCTAAGGATGATTGTTGTGCTGCAGTGTGTGTTTCTGAAATGCATATTAATCTGTGGGTAGAGGACTGATGTCACTATAATGAAGAAGTCACATTAGTTCATATGGAGTATTTTTTCTCAGCATGTTAACACTTTGTATTATTGGCTAATAGCAGCTGAGTGTAGCAAGCCTCTTGGAGACCGGAAACAGCACATGGCATCTAGTCTCCCTGTACTCTTCTGCTTCACTCTTTGGCATCTTCTCAGTCTCAAAGGGCTTTGGAGGCAGTCCTCACCATTCTTTGTGCATTTGTCCATCGATTCCATACTACTTGGTAGCCTCAACCTTCTGTTTACTCCTTCCATTATACTCCCCCACTCCTGTGTTTTTTAAGGTAAAGAGTCATGTCTCTTAGAGTGTTTTTCTTAGGAATTTAATATTTTTGAAAATTTCAATTTTTTTATTATTATGGTTACTATTTTTGTTAGTGCTTGGGTTAAAATTTTAACAAATTTCCCAGCCTTTTTTTTTTGATAAGCCTTATTTTTTTAGTTTGAGCTTGTAAAACATTAGTTTTTAGTAACACCTGTATCTAGTTATGGACATTACTGTGACTCCTTTTCCTAATATTGAGCAGTACTGGAAGGGGGCATGGGAGGGAATGGCAGGGTCTACGGAAGGTTTTCTCAGGGGTCTACAGACTTGACCACAGTTGGCTGCATGTTGGTCTAAATCACTTACACTTAGTGACATTTTCTAAGTGTTCTTCATTATATATTTAGGTGGTTATGTTTTTGCATTTTTATCTTCTGTATGATATTTTGCTACAGTCTGAACAAGTGTCTGAGGCTGAAATACACCCCCAGCTGAACAGAGCTCCCTCCCAGGTTGCTGAGAGTAGTCCAACGAAGAAGGTAAGGCCTGCAGGAAGGTGCCCCTGTGATGGCACTGTGAGCCCCTCCCCTGGGCTTCTTGTCTCTATTTGCAAATCTGTTTTGCTTTGGTGTCTGTGTCCTGACCTGAATGGTAATGATCCAGCTTTCCTATAATTTGGGCTCTTTGTGAAGATTAGGGTGCTGATGATTCTTGGGCCTGACCTTGATGTCACTGACCGTTTGCACTTCCGTCTTCAGCCTTCGAGCTAAATATGGTGGCTTTGCTTTTGGCAAGTTCAGGAGGTGTGGTGGGGAGGGCCTTTGTCACAACCCTGCAGGTTGCTGAGTGTCTAGGAGCACCTCTGGTGGGGGCCGGGAAGTCTGCCTTCCTTTGTCTGTGTGCCATGGTCCCCTCTTGCATCCCAGCATCTTCACCTTAGCTCACTGGTGTCACTGAGTCCCAGATTACTTACTCAGAAGGCACCACTCACTTTTGCTCTCTGTTTACCTTCTTACCCTCTTCTGGCTGCACCCTGTTTTTCTAAGGCCCTCCTCTGATCAGAGCATGGGCCCTGGGCCTGGGAGCACAGGTGAGGAGGGGACTCCTAGGAAGCCAGCTGGCTGTCTCCTTCCAGAAGACATTGTGGCCCTTAAGCTTGACTTCATGTATGAATTGGGAGTGGAAGAATGAGGAGGTGACTGAGACTATCACAAACTTCAAAGCTTACAACATGTTCCCACAGGCCCCAAAGTGAGGCAAGAGTGAGCTTTGTCTCCAGTCAGAAAAAGCCTTATGGTGTGAAATGCACATAGCATTTAAAAAAGGAAGGGAGTTCCCATTGGAATCTGATACCTGTGTCCTTTCAGGTGCAAAAAGCAATAATATGCTGCAAGCATGGAAAGAACAACAAAAAAAGAAAGGCTCCTGGAATCTGATGCCCGTGTCCCTCCTGTGTCATCCTCCCCCACCCCCCTTGTGAAGTCATGACTCAATCTTACATCCTCAGGTGTGGACTTTGAACAGAGCACACACGTGACCTGAGGATGGGCATAGAAGGAACATGAGGACATTGGCATGATGAAGGGAGCATTTCTGTTGTGAACCTCGGGGTTTTATTGTTTTGTATTTAATCTGCAGGACATACCACATTCTCAGCCTCCATCAAAGCCCATCCGAAGGAAGTTCCGACCTGAAAACTCAGCTACAGAAAGCCAAGAGCCTCCTAGCACTGTTGGTGGGCCAGTGTCGGCAGCGAGCGGGAAGCCCCACGCAGCAGTCCAAAAGTATGTACGGCAGATCACGGGACTCAAACACCAGCTTTCCAGTTTTTGTATGTGTGTACCTGGAAATCTGTTAGCATTTATACTCATGGCCATAGAACGGTGTGATTTTATGGTTGTAGTTTTGCCTTCTTGTCTCTGTGGTGGTACTCTTCCCGGGCACCCAGGAAGAGACCTATGCTCTAGAACCTAACCTGAGCCAAGGGCCAAGCAAGTACAAAGATGTGCTGTTGCAGTTTGCTTTGATTTCCCTCTCTTCCTTTCTCCTCCTCCTCCTCTTCCTGCCCTGCTTCCTTGTGCTGGTGCGTGTTTTCCTAGGAAGAAGACCGTGATACAAATGGCCCTTTTTCCTCTTTGCCTTCTGGTGCTCCCCCAGGGCAAATGGCTAGCTTTGTGACCCTCAGACCCAATTTTAAGTACATGTGGCTTGTGATTTCTTTTTATTCCCCACGAAAATTTTTATTGTCGATCATCTCAGCACATATGGTCACATGTGGAGCCTCCAAAATAGCTATGTGACTGGCTGTAACAGCTATGTGAGGGGGGCACCCGTGGACAAGGCTAGGAACTGAGAGAACAATGTTCCTGACAAACCAGTTTTCTACAGAGGGTTTTGTTTTAAGAAAACCTATCCCTTGCCTCAGTTTTTCTGTAGTGAAATTAAGCAGTGTTGAGAGCAGAAACCTGCTGCTGTGCATAACTTCATAAATGAACTTGCCTGGTCACTAACATAAATGCTCAACATATGCCCTGACACTGCTCTAGTGGCCTTGTAGATCCCAGGGGCTGCTGTGGTTTTCTCCTGCTTATACTGTTATAGAGAAAGAAGCAATGGATTCTGTGGGCGTGACTTGCCTCTGAAGCCAAAACTCCATCATGAATCCATACAACACTCTTCAGATAATGTTTTTTGTGTCAGTTTTTCCAAATAGTTCCCTAGCAGTATCAATGCATAAAGGAAATATATTTTGTCCTTAATGGCCACTGAGAGCTTTGACTGTCTTTCAGCCACTGTCAAGCCTAGGGGATGAATCCATGTCAGGGACAAGGATGGCTAAACTTGCTTCTGTGTGCCATCTTGGCTTTCCATGGTGGTCTCTGCTTCACATCACTGTTAGTCAGGGATGGCTACAGCACCCTCCGTGCTGGATGGAGGGCAGCTGGCAGAGCTCATGCAGAGGTCTTTTTCTGTTCCTTTCCTTTATCTGTGTGTGTGTTTTTAAAATAGCTTTCATTTTTTTGTAGATTTTATTTATTTATTCATGAGCGACATAGAAAGAGGCAGAGACATAGGCAGAGGGGAGAGGCAATACAAGATTGGGGAGCCCAATACAAGATTTGATCCCAGAACCCCGGGATCATGACCTGTGCTGAAGGTAGATGCTCAACCACTGAGCCACCCAGGTGCCCTTTTAGCTTTCTTCAGATGTAATTCACATAGCAATATAATTCACCTTTTACATGTGCAATTCAGTGGTTTTTAGTATTTCCACAAAGTTGTGCAACTGTTGTCACAAACTAATTTTAGAACATTTTCATTGCCCCCAAACGAAATTCTGTGGGTTAGCAATCACTTTCCATTCCTGTCCCATGTCCCAGGCAGCTAGTCATCTACTCTGTGTCTCTCTAGATTCACCTGTTGTGGCCATTTCATGTGAATGTAATCATGCAGCACACGGTCTTCTGTGGCTGGCTTTTTTTTTTTTTATTTTTTAGTTAGCATAATGTGTTCAAGGTTTATCCATGCTGTAGCCTGAGTCAGTACTTGATTCTTTTTTATTGTTAAATAATGTCCCATTGTATGGATATACCACATTTATTCATTCATTACTTGATGGACATTTCAGTTGTTTTCACTTTAAAGCTGTAAAGAATAATGCTGGCATACTATGTGTGTACACGTTTTAGTGTGGGCTTACATTTTCATTTGTCTTGAGTATGTACCTAGCAGTGGAATTGCTAGGTCATATGGTCACTCTATATTTAATATTTTGAGGACTTACCAAACTGTTTTCCATGGTAGGTGCAGCATTTTACAGTCCTACCAGGAACATATGAGAGTTCTGGTTCCTCCTGGTATTTTTGGTCAACACTTGCTGCTATTTATTTATTTTTTAAAATTATTACAGCCATCCTAGTGGGTATGAAGGAGTATCTCATTGTCTTTTTGATTTACATTTCCCTAATGGCTAATGATGTTGAGCATCTTTTCATGTGCTTATTGGCCATTTGTTTATCTTTGGAGAAATGTTTACTTGATCCTTTGCCCTTTTCTGCTTGGATTATTTATCTTTTTATGTTGAGTTAGGAATTCTTGACCTGTTCTGATTACACATCCCTTGCCAGATAAATGATTTGCAAGTGTTTTCTCCCATTCTGTAGATGGTCATTTCACTTTCTTGATGGTGTCATTTGCAGCTCTAAAGCTTTAATATTGATGAAGTCCAGTTTATTTTGTTTTCTTTTGTTACTTGTGTCTTTAGTGTCATGGCTTGGAAACCACTGCCTAACTCAAGTTCATGAAGATTTTTTCCTGTGTTTGCGTCTATAGGTTTTATAATTTTAGCTCTTACATCGAAACATGTGGTTAATTTTGAGTTCATGTTTGTGTATAGGGTAAAGAAAGGACCCCACTTCATTCTTTTGCATATAGATATCCAGTTGTCCCCACATCGTTTATTGAAGGAGATATTTTCTTTTATTTGCCAGTTTAGTGACTGTCCCTCATTGTGATATTCTCTCACTAGTTAGGTGACCACGTGGTGTCTGAGAGACGCTAGTGATCACCAGGAACACAAGTAGTGCTGTAAATGGCAGGGATGTAAGCTTTGGGTTAGGGAATTTCATACAGCTTGTTATCATTCCCAGACTAGTTTATTTTGGAGTGATAAGGAACAACTTAGAATTTATCATTTTCTTAAGCCCTGGAGAGAGAGACAGCCAGACACATGATGGTTAGTCTGTATAGTTCTTTCTCAACCAGGGTTCTGGGAAAGAATGAAACTCTGATGCCCTTAGACATCCATTGTCTGTAGGAACTTAACCTCTCTCCTATGCATCTAGAGTGGTATTTACTGTATTGTTTTGGGGGAAATTGACAAAAGTGTGACAAGTAATTTTCTTAACTAATATAACACTGGTTAAGAAAGGCTAAAAAAAAAACTAGTTGGAAAATGGTCATCAGGTTTTCGGGAAATGAACATCAAAACTGACCTATTGTAAGAAACAAATTCTTCTTCATATATCATCATTGTCTATTCCATTTAGGGCAAAGGAAAAATAAAATAATCTTTTCTAAGTGAGCTGCTGAGTCCAGATTATAACTAATAAACAACTCTTGGATTGTGTCATAATTACTGAGCTGCTTGTGAGGACAAAAGTGGTTTTTTAAAAAAGATTTTATTTATTTATTCATGAGAGATCCAGAGAGAGAGGCAGAGACATAGGCAGAGGGAGAAACAGGCTCCCTGGGAGGAGGCTGATAGGGGACTCGATTCTGGATCCTGGGATCACACCCTGAGCCAAAAGCAGACACTCAACCACTGAGCCGCCTAGGTGTCCCAAAAGTGGTTTTTTAAAAGAAATAATGTGACTTACTTGTTTTTTTTCCCTCATGTCTTGTACATCTTGTATAGATGGACCTTGGGAAAATAGAATGGTTTGAACAGTTTGGAGAGAGAGGGTGTTGTATAACAGTACTATGACTGAAGCTGTGCCAGCTTCCATGGTTTTTGCTCTTTTCTGTAAACTCTGGAAGTGTCCTGGACCACCCCAGAGCATGCCCAGCAGCCAGTGTGACAGTGTCTGCTTGCCTGCATGATGTTCTTAGTGTGCTTGGATTCTGTTTTCCTTCCTGCTGCATGCTTAATGGTACCAGATTGTCTGTAGGGTCAATGAGTGACATTCCTAATAAAAACCTACTATTTCCAAGTAGAGAAAAGGTTATATAAGTTCATTTTTTAGACGCTGTACTCATAATTCCGTGGGAGAAATTGGGGCTCAGGTTAAAGGCTAAGAAGATTTTTCTTATCTAGAGACCCCAGTTTACATTCTTTCAAATATTGGTTCAGCTGCTTGAATGAAACCCAATTAACAGTCACTCAGATAAACATAGAAATTCACTTCTTTCTTGTGTAGAAGTCTAAGTTGGTGAGGGTTCCAAAGCGTAGATTAGCTCTGTGCATGAACCCGGGTAGTTTCCTGTATTCTTATTCTGGATCCCTGTGGGGGTTGCCTTTATCTTTATGGTTGAAGATGGCTCACTAACATGTTCACATTCTAGACCCCGGAGTGGGGATGGAACAAATGGAGAGAAAACAGGCTATTTTTAAGGGGATGACTCAGAAGTGGCATCTCTGATTGCTTTGGCCCAAACTTAAGTCATATGGCCTTACCTACCTGCAAGAAAGACAGGGAAATGGAATTTCTAGTTAGAGGGCCATGTACCTCACTCAAACTGAGAATGCTAGGCTACTGTAAACAAGAAGGCACAAGAATAGGTTTTGGAGGACAGTCTGCCACACAACCTTGAGTGGACAGTGCCTCATGGTGCTGCTGTTCTAAATTGATAGATAGCGTGACACACAACAGAGCCAGACAAAACAAATGTCTACATAAGTGTTACTCCTTCAGTTTCCTCCCTGGAAGCCAGGCTGGTTAGAGTACAGCCTGAAACAGTGAGTACAAATATTAGGAGAACCTGAAGAGACAGACTCCAGAAGCAACTCTTAAGAGGGTGAGGCTTAAGAGCATGGGTTAAATGCTTTGGTGACCCCTTCAGAGGTATTCTGGGCTTGATCCTATCTTTGTGTTATTTAAGGCTCCTTTGGTAGCAAATGATAAAAGGCAACTTGAGGTAGCAAAACCATACTCTTTATTATTTTTTTAAGATTGTATGTATTTATTTGACAGAGCAGGAGAATACAACAGGGGGAGGGGCAGAGGGAAAGGGAGAAGCAAGCAGACTCCCCACTGAGCAGGGAGCCAGGACTCTGGGAACATGACCTGGGCTGAAGGCAGAGCCACCCAGGTGCCCCAAAACTATACTCTGTATTATAAGGATATAGAGGTGACTCGGGGAAATCAGGGGCAGGAGTGGATTGGAAGAAAGGATTGCAAACCTTCTGGGGCTCATTCTGATGCCTCTCAGTTTTCTTAGGATGTTTTTGACATTTTTGTCTATGAAGACTTCTCAAGCACCTTCAACTGTAGGGATTACTGTGCTGCGCCCAGGCTGAACTGAATTATTAGCCATAACTCAAATCATTCGGAGGGAGAATCTGGTCAGCTCAGCATGGGCCAGCATCCATTTCGGTGTCAAAAGAGAGGTGAACATGGTGATGCCTGGGTAGCTCAGTGGTTGAGCATCTGCCTTCGGCTCAGGGCGTGATCCTGGAGTCCTGGGATCGAGTCCTGCATCGGGCTCCTGCATGGAGCCTGTTTCTTTTCTCCCTTTGCCTGTGTCTCTGCCTCTCTCTGTGTGTCTCTCATGAATAAATAAATAAAATCTTTATAAAAAACAAAATTATTTAAATATTCTAATTCTTCTTTCCACATAAATTTTGGAATAATTTTGTCTTGATCTACAAAAAAAATCTTGCTGAGATTTCGATACAAATTTTGTTAAACCTTTGGGGTACCTGGGTGGCTCAGTTGGTTAAATGTCTACTTCCCCCTCACCCCTGACCCTGCTCATGCTTTCTTAAATAAATAAATAAATAAATCTTTAAAAAATTAGAAAAAAAGGAATTGTGTTATCTGAGGAGAATGGACTTTTTTTTTTATTATGTTGAGTCATCCAATCCATGAACATGATGAATATTTCTCTATTTATTTTGATCCTATTTTTTCATTAGTGTTGTATAGTTTTCAGCATGTAAGTCTTGTAGTTGTTTTGATATATCTAAGAATTTTGGTTTGAAGCTTTGTAAATATTGTATTTTAATTTTTCCCTAAGTATTCAATGTTAGTATATCAAACTTTTATTGATTTAAAAATTATCTATTGTTTTTTTGAGAATTGGGAGAGAGAGAGAAAGAGAAGAGCAGAGCAGAGGGAGAGGGACAAGCAGACTCTACGCTGAGTGTGGAGCCCAACGTGGGGCTCAATGCCACAACTCGGAGATCATGACCTGAGCCGAAATCAAGAGTCAGACATTTAACTGATTGAGCCATTCAGGCACCCCCATTCTATTGATTTTTGTACATTAATCTTCTCTCCTCCACACTCACTTCTATTCTAGTTGAAGTCATTTATTAGTTCTGAGAATTTTTTTATAGATTCCTTGGAACTTTCTATATGGGTTATTATGTCATCTGCAGATAGGGACAATTTCATTCTTTCTAATTTGTGTGCCTTTAATTTCCTTTTCTTGCATTATTGTGGTGGCTAGGACTTCTAGTACCGTATTGAAAATAGTAATGAAAGTAGAAATCCTTGCTTTGTTCCTCATCTCAGGGGGAAAGCATTTAGTTTTTATTATGTATGTATGTATGATGTCAGCTGTAGTTTTTTTTGTAGACATTCTTCATCAGCTTGAACCAGTTGACCTCTATTCATAGTTTTCTGAAAGTTTTTATCATGAATGGGTATTGAGTTTTATCAGGTGATTTTTCTTTATCAGTTGATACAGTCATGTGATTTTATTCTTTCACCTGTTAGGTTGGTGGATTATATTTATTGACTTTTGAATATTGAATCAGCCTTGCATCTCTGGAATAAAGCTCTCTTGGTCATGGTGTATGTATAGTTTTTAATACACTGCTAAATTCTATTTGCTAATATTTTGTTAAAGAAATTCCATGTATCTCCAGGAGAGGTGTTGTGTATAATTTAGGTCTTGCTAGGCTGCCCATTTCCAAGTTATTTGGTTGGAGAGAGCAGGATTTGGATGGGGAAAGACTTTTTACTGTCTGCCTTTATTGGCATTTATGGATTGCTGATTTCTCCACTATGTAGTCTGGGATATATGAAGCAAGAAAGAAAACTTGGGGAATTCACTGTTGTGTGTTTCCCTGGGTACTGAGTTCCTTGACTAATTTGCTTCTTCACTTTTTGGAGTAATCTTATGTTTGTTTTATATATTATATCTAGGACTTTAGCTGTATTTGGTGGGGTAGAGAGAAGTATGTCTACTTCACATTGTCCTGAAACTGGAAATCCAATCCTTATCTTTCTAAAAGTATATTTTAAAGCCTCTTTCTTGCCTATTTATGGATGAAAAAATTAATTTTTCAATTTGTTGGAGAAGGGAGTATGCCTTCTGCAGATTAGCAGAGTGGGTAGCATAGTGTATATACTCAGTGAATATTAATCAGATCTCCACAATGGTCACTATGCATTCTGGTTAAGTTGCTCTGGCGTAGAAACTACCTCTCACAGATTGTAAATATGTCTGTTTTCCAAGGGGAACTTAAATTGGCCTTTCGCTCTGAGAATTTGGTATTTTTTGCTGTGGGATATAAGGTTGTAGGTTATACAATCATGTTGATTTATTATCCCAACTGTAGACAGCTTCGAGGGAAAAAGAGGGTTCTAAGATAATTAGGGCCAGACAAGCAGTATAAGCAGAGGATGTAATGGGCAAAGTGAAACATATGGTCACTCTAGTTATACCTGTTCTGTGAATTTAATACTGACTTAATTTAGGAATAGTGGTATTAAAACATTTTCTCAAGTGCCACAGATGTATGCTGGTATATGCACTTGCGTGAGCATACTCACACACATACACAGACTCAAGCATTCATACCTAATAATAAAGAGATGAAAAAAAAAAGAGATGAAGGAGAGTTATATAGGCTGGCTAAGTTAATGTAGGATTTTTCTTAAAGAGAATGTTCTTCTATTCATTTCCTTCAGACTTGTCCACAGAGGCCACCTGCAGGTCTTTTAAATGCCATTAATGCTCTCACAAAAAGGGCATTCTAGTTAACATCGTTTGTCAGGAAGAAATGCTTATTAAAATGTCTTGGAATAAATGGAATGCAAAGTTTGAAAAGGTCCAATTCACAGCTTTTCTTCAAGTTATAAAATGGGAATTACTTCAGGTGTAAATAATTCATCCTGACAAATTTGTTTTGTTTGGTGTGTGCCTGCTTGCCTGCCTGCGAATCGATGATTTTATTTTTGGAGCCTTGTGACATTAGCCCCTTGTTAGTTGAGCACTTCTCATGAATTAGAGTGTTCTGACCCACAAGGATCTGGACCTCTGAGTTCTGTTTCCCTGAACTGTTTGTACTTTTTTTAGACAGTCTTCCAAACAGAAGAAGGCTATTCAAACTGCTATCCGCAAAAATAAAGAGGCAAATGCAGTGCTGGCCCGGCTGAACAGTGAACTCCAGCAGCAGCTCAAGGTAAGGAGCTTCCTGAAATCGGATTACTAGGCTTTTCATCTGGTGCTTTTGTTTTGACCATTGGCGGAGCACCTGGTTCCATTCCAGTTGGTAAGACTTGCATCTTTGTTCTCAAAGGTCTTTTGGAAGACAGAATTGCTGCACTTAGGTTTCATGGGTTGGTTCTTATATGTTTACAGGAAGACTAGTAACTTGACTATGCAGGCTACACATTGTGTATTAGTTAGTAGGACAGAGAACCTCTTACAAAGGCTGTCAGAAGCATTCTTCATTGTCATAAGCTTCTGAATTAAACTCTCGATTGTGTAGATCCTCCCTGAATGATGCTATACTTATTTAGATGGAAGAGGGTAGCCCTGACACAATCAAAGGCCCAACCTCTCCTGTGGACAAATGGTTCCCTATCACCTTCTCAAGAACATCACCCCTGCCTTTTTCTCTTCACTGTTAATCTCCCTCGGATTAGTTTTCGAGGACTGCCATTAACAGTCCATTAACAACAACAACAACAAAAAAACAAACAGTCCATTAACAAGCCACAATCTTGGTGGCTTGAAGTAACAGAAATCACTTCTCACGACTCTGGAGGCTAGAAGTCTGAAATCAGAGTGTCAGCAGAGCCATCCCCTCTCTCTGAAGGCTTTTGGGGAGAATCCTTCCGTCTTTCTTCCCAGCTTCTGGTAGTTGCTGGCAATCCTGGGCATTCCTTGGCTTCCAGACGTATCGTTCCAGTATCTGTCTCACTGTCACATGATGTTTTCTCTGGATCTCTGTCTGTATCCAAATTCCTCTTCTTATTATGTCCTCTTCTTATGGGGACACCAGTTATTGAATTAAGGCCTGCCCTAATTTAGCAGAACCTCATTTTAATTACATCTCCAAAGATCCTATTTCTGTATGAGGTAACATTTACAGGTACTGGGGGTTAGGGCTTAAGCATATCATTTTGGGGGATACAGTTCTACCCACTGCATCCCCTGATTGTCTACTGCATCACTCCTAAACACATAAACATGCTCCAGTATTGTCCATTACCTTGACCTCCCATCCTTTTTTTTTTTAATAATAAATTTATTTTTTATTGGTGTTCAATTTGCCAACATACAGAATAACACCCAGTGCTCATCCCGTCAAGTGCCCCCCTCAGTGCCCGTCACCCATTCACCCCCACCCCCCGCCCTCCTCCCCTTCCACCACCCCTAGTTCGTTTTCCAGAGTTATGACCTCCCATCCTTGTTCAGCTGCAGCCCCCTGTCTCTGCTCTCCTTCCCAGCTAGGTGTCCTAGCAGTTGCTTTTCATTTACTCTCCATCCTCACCAATAGCTTTTTTTCTCTCCACTTCAGTGTGGCATCACTCTCCTCCATTCACATCCCTCCTATAACCAAATCCAAAGGGCCTCTTTCAATTTATTTGAATTTTCAGAAGAATTCTATACAATTGACCGTTGCCTCCTCTGAAGTTGCCTTTCTCACTGGCTTTTGGGCTATTATACTATTTTCATGTTCCTTCTCCCTCCTTCCCTCCCTCCCTGGTGCTTCTTCTTTAGCATTCTCTGCTATTTCTTCCTTCTTTGATTTTTCTTTTATTACTCCCTGATATTTTATTTTGTCCTAATATTTTATTACCAACATTTTCAAGTATACAAGAAAGGTGAAAGAATCCTATGGTAAATACTTTTATAGCTACCTCTTTTAACATTTTTAAGTAAATTGCAGACATTTATATGCATCCCCTAAACATTACAACATGCAGATCATTAACGAGAGTTGAATATTTTTACAGGTTTTTCTGATGATATAAGTTTTATATACAATGAATGCACAAATCTTAAATGTGCCATTTGCTGAGTTTTTACAAATGCATATACTTATGGAAGCCAAAGCCCTATCGTGACATAGAACATTACCATCACCCTAGGAGGCTCCCTCATGCTCCTTCCTTGTCAATTCCTGCCCCACGCACACAGAGGCAACTACTGTTCTTACTTTGTTATGCCATAGTGTTGTTTATTCTGTAACTTTATGTAAATGGTGTTCTCTAATATGTACTTTTGTGTAAAGCTTAGTGTTACATGTTTGACATTCATTGATACTGCATGTGTCAGTAATCCATTCCTTTTTACTGCTAGATAGTATTCCATTGAGTGATTATGCCACAATTTTATCAGTTCTTCTTTTTTTTTTTTATCAGTTCTTTTAATGGACACCTCAGCTGTTGTCAGTTTTTGGCTATTTTGAAGAAAGCCACATTCTTGAATAAGTCTTTGTGTGGAGATATGTTCTCATTTCTCTTGGGGAAATACCTAAGATTTGGGTTAGTGGCAAATGTATGTGATTAGTTTTATTAGAAACTGCTAGTGCTTTTCCCAAAGCGGTTGTAGGCATTTTGTGCTCCTCCCACCAGAGCACGAGAATTCCTGTTGTTCCACATCTTTGCTGACATTTGGTGGCGGTCTTTTAATTTTAGTTGATCCTGTGGTGATTTAGTTTTTATTTTGTATCTCCTTGATGCTTAATTTTGCTGAGCATTTTTTATTGCAATTCTTTACCTTCCATATATTTTATGAAGTGTCTGTTCAAAATATTTGGCCATTTTAAACATCGTTTTTAGTCTTTTTTTGTGGCATTTTAAGTTAGATGCTTTTTATATTATCTTGGTTACTAGGCCTTTGTCAGATACCTATTTTATAAATGTTTTCTTTCATTCTTTCATTTTCTTAACTGTATCTTTTCATGAACATTTTTAATTTTTATAAAGTCTGATTTATCATTTTTCCCCTCTATGGTTCTTATTTTCTTCCTATATAAAGAAACTGCCTACATCTAAGTTATGAAGATAGTCTCCTACCGTTTTCTCTTAAAGGCTTTATTATTTTAGCTTTTGCATTTAGGTCTAAAGATGCTTTTTAAAACCACTTTATTGAGGTGTGACTGATACACAAAAAACTATGCATATTTAATATATGCAATGTGATATATTACAGTTTGGAGGTAATTATATATCCATGGACCCATCACCACAATTTATTCCATAAAACTATTCATCACCTCTACAAGTTTCCTTCCCCCTCTTTATTTATTATCATCATTATTATTTTGTATATGTGACAAGAACACTTAAGATCTACCCACTTAACAAATTGTTAATTATACACCACACTATAATTAATTGTAGGCACTATGCTGTATAGTAGATCTCTAGGCCTTACTCATTCTGGATAACTAAAACTTTGTACCCTTTGAATAGTACTTCCCCATTTCCCCCAGCCCTGAACAACTACCATTCTATACTCTCCTTCTATGAGTTTCACTCTTGTAGATTCCTCATGAGTGGTATCACTTAGTATTTGTCTTTCTGTGTCTGGCTTATTTCCCTTAGCATAATATCCTCCAAGTTTTATCTATGTTGTTGCAAATGGCTGAATTTCTTTATTTTTTCTTAAAAAAATTAAGGCTGAATAATATTCCACGGTATGTATATACATTTTCTTTATCCATTTGTCCATTGGTAGGCATTAAAGGTTCCTTCCATGTCTTGGATATTGTGAATAATGCTGCAGTGAACATGAAAGTACAGAAATCTCTTTGAGATACTGATTTTAATTCCTTTGGATATATATACCCAGAAGCTGGGTTGTATTAGGTAGTTCTATTTTTTTCAGCTTTATTGAGATATAATTGACATATAACAGTATGTATAGGTATACAACACATTTGATACATTTACATATTGCAATAAGATTGTCATAGTATTGTTAATTAATACCTTTATCACCTCACAAAACTACCAATTCTTTTATGTGGTTAGAACATTTAAGATTGACTGTCTTGGCAACTTTCAATTATGTAATACGTATTGTTTACTATAGGCATCATGTTGTACATTAGATCCCTAGAAATTACTCATCTTAGAACTGGAGGTTTGGACCCTTGGTTAACATCTCTCTGTTTCCCCCCAGCCCCTGGCAACTGCCGTTCTACTTTCTGTTTCTATGAATTTGGCTTTTTTTACATTCCACACACAGGTGGTATCATGCAGTATTTGCGTTTCTCTGTCTGACTTATTTCCCTTGGCATAGTGCCTGCAAGGTCCATCCATGTCACAAATGATAGAATTTCTTCTTTCTTATGGCCGAATAGTACTCCGTTCTATGTATGTACTACATCCTTATCCATTCATCTGTAGACAGATACTAATGTTTTCATATCTTGGCTATTGTAAATAATGCTGCAGTGAACATGAGAGTACAGATATTCCTTTGAGACTCTGATTTTTATTTTCTTTGAATACCCAGAAGTGGGATTGCTAGATCATATGATAGTTTTGTTTTTTTTTAAATATTGAGAAGCCTCCATACTGTTTTCCATGGTGGCTGCACCAACTTACATTCCTACTAGCAGTATACAAGGATTCCCTTATCTCCACATTTTTGGCAACACTTATTTCTTACTTTTTTGATAATAGCCATTCTAACAGGTGTGAGGTGATACCTCATTGCAGTTTTTTTATTTTTTAAGTAACCTTCCACCCAATGTGGGGCTTGAACTCACAACCCTGAGATCAAGAGTTATCTGCTCTATCAAATGAGCCAGCCAGATACCTCTCATTATGGTTTTGATTATATGTCCTTGGTGATTACTGATGTTGGGCATCTTTTTACCTGCCTGTTGGTCATTTGTTTTGGTATGTTGTGTTTCCATTTTCATTTGTTTCAAGATAGTTTTTGATTCCTTCTTTGACTTGTTGGTTATTCAGGAGTGTGTTAGTTTCTATATATTTGTGAATTTTTCAGCTTTCTTCCTATTAGTTGAGTTCTACTTTCATTAGCACTGTGGTCAGAGAAGATACTTGGTATAATGTCAGTCTTTTTAAGTTTTCTAGGATTTGTTTTGTGACCTATTGTGATATATATCCTGGAGAGTGTTCTATGTGCACTTGAGAATATGTATTCTGCAGCCCTGGTTGGAATGTTCTTGATGTCTCTTAGGTCCATTTGGTC